GAACCTTTATTTATAGTTTTCCCGAGCACGCATATTCACTAACGAACGTGATTAAGCCATGAAAAATTGTTGTTCGTCTATTGTTTGCCTGCTCTGTAGAAACACTCGTGAACAGCTTACATTGTTTTCCCATATGTTTTTCTGTAGTTTTCGTGAGCGCAAAATCGCTGCATTTTCCAAGCGTCTTCACACAGAACTACTTATAGTGAACGACAAGAAAACGCGATGGTCGTCCATTGTTTTCTTGCTCCAAGGAGAGGCTAATGAATAGTTCTTTTTCCGGAACTTTTTCCTGCTGCATTCCTACGCGTCCGAACAATGCATTTTTTAAGTGTTTTATCCGAGAAACGCTGACGGTCAACGCCATGAATATAAGATGTTCGTCGATCGTGATAATTACTTCCTGCTCTTTATCCTGCTCCATGAAAACGCAAATGGATATCTTGAATATTTAGAATATTTAGAATATTCACCACGATTGGGTCATTTGAGGCAATTCAGTTATTGGAGCCGTGTGGATCATTTGAGGAAATTGAGCTTACTGGGTCCTTTCAGGCAGTTGGGTCACTTGCACTGACTGGGTCGGACAGCGATTAACCAAGCGGCGGTAAACGCAAGAGTGCATGCCTTGCACGAATTCACCGTTGCAGAAAACATCGGGAAATGCATGCTTTCGACTGGCTCACTCCAGTGAACATAACGTTAGAATACGCAAGACGGCTGTAAATGGCAGAGTGCATGTTATTTTACCGAGGCTAACCGAACAGCAATAAGTGGTAAGACGAGGAAAATGCGTTTCAACGAATTTTCTCGAATTCACCATCTCGGAAAAATGTTAGAAAATGCATGCTTTTGACTGCAAAACTCATGTGAACATTTTGTTTACCGGACGAAAAAATGGTTGCGAACAAAAGAAGATATGACATTATCTGTGCGTTATACAAACGGTAAACACAGGAAAACATTTGGTTTTCCTGTATTTTACACACATTTAACTTCCCGGAAATACGTCTTTTTAGGCGTTAATTCCGGTGAATATGTTGTTGTTCACTCGGAAATTGCCAATGAACAAAAGGAAAACAAGCTGTTTGCCGTGCGTTAACCGAGCGGTTAATGTCGGAAAATAAATTGTTTATCGGCATTTACCGTGCGTTAACCGAGCGGCTAATGCCGGAAAATAAGTTGTTTACCAGTATTTACCGCGAAGGAAAACTACCGAATAATAAAACGAAAAGTGGGATTCACCGGTGCGAAAACATCGACTTTCCGTATGGAAAACACAGGTAAACTTTAATAAAATGCCGCGTTTTCCGTGAATTCAATCTTTGTTTACCGTGAGGTGAACGCCAGTTTTTTTTGCTGTGTGAGTTTCTGCAGGGCATTGATTGCAGACAAAAAGTCCGTATGCATTATTTTGCTTGCTATGAATGACAAAGCCTATTTTAGTACCTACAAGAAAAACTTTCCCTTGATTTCCGGTCTGTTCCAAGTTGATATTTCACTTTCAGAGTCAGTTTGTGGCTAACATAACGTGTGCCAAAGCTTAACATCGAACAGAAACCCAATGGTGTTTATAAGGTAGCAAATTTTTAGCGACATAATCGTTCCGAAAACTATATTAACTCTTGCCATACGTTTATATTCAATCTTGCCAATCGTAACGGTTTTTACCAGTCCTGTTAATGTGTGATACCGGAAAAAGATGTTGTGAATAAATTTTCCGTAGGGCACCTTTTTACTCGGCTTACAGGTTGATTTCATAATTAAAGCTTTGTAGTGTCGTCAATTTTGTGTGTCAAAAAGATACTAAAGGGCTGTGACGGATCATAAAGGGATAAAGGGGAAAGCAGGTGTCTGGGTTTTGTCTGTGTACTTGGAGAGGGGAATCCCAGCGGTTAGCACTAGATCAAACACTCTTGCTAGAAAAGGGCTAAAGAACATGAGCTGAAGCTATTGGAACTATACTCCATTAGGAAAGGAATTATCTTTTTACTTCGGTTCGTTGTCAAAATGTGAGATATTTACAAAAAAATCTGGGCTGTGCACTTTGTTGATTATTCGTCAACTCACATTCGACTTGCGCTCGTAAAATAGTTGTGAACTGGCACTTGCATAATTTTTGTGCTGTTAATGAACACTCCAAAAGGTACCCCCATAATCTGTGTAAAAATCCAATAGCGAATGTACAGGCTAAAGTCGAAACTCCGCAGAAATATGTATTTAACAAACATGTGTTACGTAAAGGGCAGTCAAATTGGAGTTGTTAGTGAAGACTCCAGGTGGTAGCTCCTTGGTTTAGTTTTCACCTAGGCACCTAAGATTTTGACAAAACTG